GGGGGGGGGGAGGGGGGCGAGGACCGGCCTGGATGCCCGACTAGATATAGAAAAGGCGCCAAGCGGATGGGCGCCGCGTGCGTGCCTGCTTGCCTGCCTGCCTGCCTGCCTTGGCTTGGCTCGGCTTGGCTGAGCAGCCGGCCAGGCGGACAAGGGAGAGGAGAGGGAGAGCTGGAGGGCGCCTGCGGCAGATCGGCTGCTCCCGACCGCAGGGGCGGAGTGATGGCCTTTCCTTTTGTTCGGCTCTGCCGAAGGGGAGCAAGTGCGCCAGTGTCTTCGGAGGAGCCGCTGCGCTCGGCCGCGCCGACTGGCTCACGTTGCCAGGCTATGCAGCCTATCGGATGGGGGATGGCACGGTGATCGAGCTGAACGAGCACATCCAGGCTGGCTAGACTGGCCAAGCCGCAAAGAATTTGTCGAGGCTGAGCTTGGGGGCAACAGCCGCGGTCGGGCGTGCGCAACGCCCATCACATCTGGGCGTGCCATCGGCCATCACGCTTGCCGAGCAGACCGGTAAGGACGAGACGAGAGGGAGGGCGAGTCGGATCGCATCCGTCGAGCTGGGCGAGCGTTCGACAGCCAGCGAGCGAGCGAGGCCGAGCGAGCACGAGCGAGGCCTTGGTTCCTATTCCACCGCCCTTGCGCCAGCCAGCCAGCCAGCATCCAGAGGGCAGATACGCACTCATGGACCAGGTGATGCTAGCCACTTGTCGACCACTCATGACTGCGTCAGCGTCGCATGCTTGCCTGGCCAGCGAACGGCCTCGGCCTTCCCCCTCCTTCCCCCTCCTCAGCCACGCCGCCCACGCGTTCCTGGCAACACTCTCTTTTTGTTTTCATTCTCATTCCCATTCTTTTATTTTTCATCGGCCATCCGATGCGAGCGTTCGTGCGTGCAAAGGAGATTGTCCGAGGGACGAGCTTGCTGAGCAGACGCAAGACGGAAATGTACAAGAGCATGGCAAAGAGAGTACGGGCGGCAGGCGGCGAAAGGGCGCGGAGCTGCCAACGATCTCGGGTCGGCAGCGAGAGTGGCACTGTCGGACGCACGCCAAGCCTGCGCGTATAGCCGCCCGCCGCGTGGCGGCGGGAAGACGCGTCGAAACGCACCAGAGCCGGCGGAAAAAAAACACTTTGAATGCAGCCAGTTTATGCACGCGTGCATGCCACCACCTGTCCAAGCACAGCAACGCGCTGCTACCCATCCTACCCATCCTACCCCTCCTACCCTTGCAACGTCGTATTGTGTGCATCTGCGACAGACCTGCCATAGCGTGAACTTGACGAATTGAGGCGAGCGCACACGGATATCCCTGACGACTACCCGTGCACGGATATCCCTGCGGGATATCCGTGCACGCGTACTCGACACCACTCCTTCGCGTCCCAACGACACGTGCGAGGTCGATGACGGCCGCGCCCGATCCAACCGCGCTTCACCACCCAGCGTAAAGGAGGCGTGGGTGCGGGCGCTCGGCGTGCGCAGCGTCGATGCATCCGCCTCGCCCTCACACGGCCCTGCGGCGGTTCGCGCGGTCGGCGTAGACACCACATCCGAGTCCATCGCCCACGATCGCAGCGGCGTCTGCGGTGCATCCAGCTCGTCCATCATCACGTCGCCATCGCCGTCGTGCTCGCTGCCCGTCCACACCTCCATCCTTGCCGTCTGGAACGGCGTTTCCACCGCGGTGCCTCTGTCGGCTCCGTTGCGCGACAGCTGCAGCGCTGGCGGTCGGCGTCGCTGCATCCCGGGACTCGCCAACGCCGCTCCTGCTCCACCCGCCGCCCCGGCCGTCTGGAGCTGCAGTGCAGGAGCCGCCTTCTTGCGCCTCCGCTGCATGAGCGATCCGGCTGCCGCATCACTGCCCACCGCCGCCGCCGAGTCGGGCGTGAGTCCTTCGAGCCGATCCTGCGCCGCCTTTCTCTCTGCCGCCAGACGCACCGCTTCGTTGAGTCGCTCTTCGCGCCGCCGCGCCTCTTCGGCGGCCTCCTTCTCCTCCTCCTCCAGCCGCATCTTGCTCCACATGGCCTCGTCCATGGTCTCGGTGCACCATCCTGCACCCGCCAGGCTCGTAGAATGCCCTACATCCATGACTTGACCCGCTTCGCTGTGGTTGCGTACGCTGGCCATGCCGAGCACGTCGCGCAGCCGACCGGCGGCGCTGGAGAGGTAGCGCTCCCACTCGACGAGCTGGTAGATGAGCGAAATGTTGGGCGAGATGCTCGACGACTTGTCCTTGACCATGTTGTAGCAGTCGTGCATGCCCAGCAGGCTGCGTGCCGCCTCAAAGCCGTAGCGCATGGCGGCGGCCTGCATGACAAACGCAATCACCAGCGTCGCGCTGCGGCTCACTCCGCACTGGCAGTGCACCAGGATGCGTCCGGGCGTGCGGCTCGTCTGCACCTGCGCCAGGCTGGCATCGTCGTGCAGCGCCGAGCACGCATCCACATCCTCCGGAATCTTGGCCGCGTACCAGTACCGAGCATCCACGCCGAGCGCTTCGGCGATGAGCGCACACCCCTGCGCGAATCCACCGTGGCCCGACGCCAGTTCGGTCTCGTCGTGCGTCCAGGGCAGCTTGATGTAGCGCACCTCGGCGGCGCACCCGTCTGCTGCGCCCACCGCCACCCTGGTGAGCGTGGCGTTGGCGGGCAGCTCGACGTGCGTGACCCAGGCGGATGGAGACTGCTGCTCGCCGGCGTCGGACGCATATCTAGGCGACACCTGCTGGCTGGAATATGCACTGGAATCGTAGGCGTCGTGGGATTCGGATTCGGCATCGCTGCCCTTTGCGCGGATGCTCATGAGCGCGGGGGGTGTGAGCTCGGTGGCTGCCGACGTGCAAGTGCTGGGTGCTCGCGACGACGAGGGGGACGATGCCGTGTCATTAGCATCGTCGGAAGACGAGCCGCTGGAGCGACGCAGCGTGCGGTACTTCAACACGTCTTGCGCCGTCAGCGTTCGCAGGTCGGCCGATGCGTCGACAGGCGCGGCTTGCGTGTGCGACGACAGGTCGGATGTCGAGGCGGGCTCGTCGTGGAGGAACTGGGTGAGCAGGTTGGGCGTGGAGGAGGTGTTGCGGAGCACCGAGGGGCTGATGGCGGTGCGAGGCGAAGGCGCGTCGTTGTTGTCCCTGGCGACTGGCAGAGATGCGGTGGTGGGTGGAGTAAAGTAGGCGCCGGGTGTGGGGGGCACTTGAGAGGATTGCGCCGAGTCGCGATGGGAGCGAGCCGAGGGCAGCTCACGGTTTGCCAGAGTGCCCCTGCGTTCGGGCACGCGCGACCACTGCGCGGGTGATGCGCTGGCGGCGTCTGCAGTGAAATCCAAGGTGGTCTCCTTTGCGACGTTGAGGATGGTGGTGATGCCGAGGGCGGAGAGCGTGTGGTGATCGCGTGCGTTGTGCTCGTCTCCGAGGTAGAGGCCGGGGAGGATTTCGACGGGGCCGTGCGAGTAGACGGAGCGAGCGTGCTGGAGGGTGCTGCCCTTGCCGCTGAGGATGTGCTCGGATGGATCGCGGAAGGCTTCTGGCGGCCTTGTGCGCGAGCTGGATGCGCTCGGAGGTTCTGGGAAAGCGGAGCGCTGCGCCGAGGTGTCCTTGAAGGGCATGCTGGGTCTTCTTCGCGGCGTTCCGCGCAGGGTGCTCGAGAGATGCCTGACGGCTTCCGAGATGGCGGATGGGGCCGCGACGGTGGAGTCGGGCTGGTGCTCGGATTTGGAGTTGGATCGGGAGAGCACGACGGGCGAGCTGGGCATGGAGCGCGACGAGAGGCCCGGATCGTCGGCGAGCGATGGTGGCGCGAGCGTGAGCTTGGACGGGCGTTTGCGTGCTAGCCTAGACAGCGGCGGAGGCGCGAGGGTGCTGGAAGAGGCATGGCCTGGCGAGAGCGGGAGCGCTGGCCGAGCGGACAGCGGCGAAGGATGTGTGAGGCGAGATTGACCGTCTTGTGGGATGCGAAGCGAGAGCGAAGTTGGAGGCTGCCTTGCGAGTCTTTGTGCATGCGGAGACGGTGGAGCAAACGAGCTCGGACCGGGGGTCGGTGGCGGAGTCGTGTCTGCTTGGAAGGCGTCCATGTCGGTGATCGTGCTGAGGTTGCACTTGGAACGAGGGAGACCAAGGGGATGGCGGAGGGCACGAATGTGGAGCGAGGGATTGATATAGCAAAGGGACGCCTGCGTCCGGGTGGGTGGTTTTTGTGGAAGATGAGAGAGAGAGGCAGTGGTGGTTAGGCGTCTGTGTGGGATTGGACAGGATATGAGCCGCAATGAACGCCCTTTGGATATGAAGGTGATGGAGGGTGGGCGTGGGCGTGGGCGTGGGCGTGGGGTGGGGCGAATGCGACGCGGACGGTTGGCGATGACGCAAGGGTGCGCAGACGATGCACGAGAGGGGAGCGATGTGAAGTCTTGGGGACAATCAGGTGGAGTGCATGCTTGTCGAGGCGCGGATTGAAAGGGGCTTGCGTGCGTAGATGAGTGCGGTGGTGGACACGTCGATGCAGTTGCAGTTGCAGATGAAGGGGAAAGCAAAGCAGGGCAAAGCAGGGCAAAGCAGGCGACGATGATAGAGGTGGTGGTGGTGGTGGCGATGAGTAGTCGGTGTAGTGTCTGAGGCCGACAGTGGCTCTGTGATGCGATGGTCTGCGACCAAGATGGAGGAGGAAGGAGGACAGGATGAGGAGAAAGGAGGTTCGAGCGTCGAGCCAATTCTCTCTCTCTCTCTCTCTCTCTCTCTCTCTCTCTCTCTCTCTCTCGGCTTGGCTTGGCTTGGCTGGGCCACCGAGCGTGGAGAGCCTTAACAGGTTGGAGAGCGGCGCGTGCGGCTGCTGCTGCTGCTGCTGCTGATGCACCGTCCAACGCCCATTTGCAGCTGCACACTCAGCGCAGCGCGTGTTGCGTGGGCAGCGCGCCTTTGACCAGCCGAAATTCCAAAATGAAACTCGCGCACGACAAGGCGCGAGTGGGATGGGCGCTCTCTTCTCTCCACCTGCATATCCAACTGCACTCGCCACCAACGTGCATTCATCCTCAAACTCTTCCGCAGCCGCTCATCTTGACTGATGCATCGAACGCACCTCTGCACCTCTGCACTGCCGCACTGCCGCTGCACCGCTGCTATGGATGAGACAGCTGCACCAGGATAAAGTGCAGGTTGACCGGCGTGCTTCTGCTCTCAAGCTTTAGACTCGCAAGCCTGAAACCCAAACGGACGGTTTGAGGATCGGGTTCGCCTGACAACCATGGCCCTTGTCTCGGTACCGCCACAATGCGGGGGCGCTGTACTCTTCGGTCATGCTGGACGCCACGTTGATGCACTTTGCCAACAGAGCGCTGCTCGCTGCTACATGCGGTGATGAGCTTGGACTTGAACGCAAACCGCCGGTGCCTGGCCCTGGCTCTGGCTGGCAGGACGACGGAAATGCGCGACAGAAAAAGAGGCTCAACGGACGCGTTTGGCAAAGTGGCGTTGGCTGGCGGCGGAGATGGAATGCCAAAACTCCTCCTCATCCCTTCGACTTGAGACCCCACGCTGCACACTCGCCCAAGCCAGCTCCGACAGCCCACGATGCGTCGGCCGATCCGACATGCTCGTTCCATCCGCGGCTCATCCGAACATCCATCCCTTCCCTAGATCGCTGGCTCACTGTGCCGAAACTGCATCCGCTGTGCATACGCTGAGACTGGCCTCGTGGCGGTTTGGAAGCGTTCCTGCAGATGGATGCTGCAGAGCGATCCATCCATCTTGGTCTCCTGCCCTCAATCTACGCATGAGCGCCGATCCACAGTGCCAATCTGGTCCGGAGACACAATGGGCGCTTTCGCTCCTGCCTTGTGGCACCATCCAACTCCGCCCGATCCAGTATCGCCAGCATCGCCGCGATCCTCCGTATCGATCCAATCAATGTCATGAGCCTTCCGCTCCCCCAACTCTGCCGCTATCGTACTCCGGCCTTTGCACTTCTCCGCTTCGTCTCCGCCCTCTTACCACTGCCGCTCATACCTCCCGAGTCTCCCTATCGTCATCCTTCGACCGGCAAGCTAGGTGTGCTAGTTGAGCAGCTCTTCTTTGAGATCCGCATCTGGACATGCGCAGTCGCTTACCCTCCAAGCCGTTTTTTGGCAGCGTACCACAGCGGACCCAGTCCAGAGGCTCTACCGAGGGCGTCTCGGCTACGTCTTACACCGACGCCCATCTGCAGAGCCGCTTTTCGCCTCGCTGGCGGGGCGCCAACATTACGGATCGAAATCGACATCGGGAACCTCAAAGCACCGATCTGCTGCGCGCTCCTCTAATTTTTTCCGAAAGCTGCTCCACTTCGAAGACTCCGCGCAGACCAACCTGAAGAAAGTGCGATCTCGAGTCCCACCTCGTCCTCTCTGCCACTCCACCATCCCCTCTACGGCGCCACTCGTAACCCCCCACAACGACGACCGCAGCCATGGTCGAAATCAGCATACAGAAGCGCCCGCTCTCTGGCGTGGAGCTCGAGTCTGCTCAGCGCAAGTTCTTCCGCAAAACCGCACGCGGCAAGGTGCTCAAGGTGCTCCGCGAGCGCTACCTCCGCGACGACATCGCCTGCGGCTCTCGCGCATGCCAACGATGCCATCATCTCCACGCCGACATGCAGAAACAGGCCCAGGATGCCGGCCTCCAGAAGAAAATCTTCCTCGATCCCGCCGGACTCAAGAACAAAAAGGTGGACCGAAACCACTACCTCGTGCTCGACACCAACGCCTTCCTCCACCAGATGGACCTCATCGAGAATCCGAGCTTCACAGACGTCATCGTGCTCCAGACCGTCGCCGACGAGGTGCGCCACAGGAGTCTCCCGCTCTTCAACCGCCTCAAGAACCTCATCGCCGACCCGGATCGCAGGTTCTGGGTGTTCTACAACGACTTTGGCCGCGACACCGCCGTGCTGCAGGACCAAGACGAGTCGCCCAACGATCGCAACGACAGGGCCATCCGAGTCGCTGCCAAGTGGTACCGCACCCATCTCATGGCCTCCACAGGTCCCGGCTCCTCCACCAAGGCCAACCTCGATGTGCTGCTCATCAGCGACGACCAGGACAACGTGCAGCGCGCGCTCAACCACGACATCCGCGCCATGTCCGTACGCGACTACATCGAGGGCCTCGACAATGCCGACCAGCTCCTCGACCTTCTCGCCTCCCGCTCCGTCGTAGCCGGCTCCGGCGGCAGCGACAAGCGCGCCGTGCTCTACCCGGAGCATCTGCCCCAGAACCAGCTCATGGCCGGCATCAAGTCCGGACAGCTCCTCCAGGGCTTCTTCAACGCCAATCCGTACAACTACCTCGAAGCCACCGTGCGCGCCGGCACGCTCACCCGCCCCATCCTCCTCGTCGGACGCGAGGCCATGAACCGCGCCGTCGACGGCGACATCGTGGCGGTGCAGATGCTGCCCAAGGACCAGTGGAAGGCCGCCACCGAGGAAGTCATCGACGCCGACGCTGCACTCAAGGACGACGACGCCGAGGCCGGCGACGGCGAAGGTGTAGCTGACGACGACATCGAAGCGCGTCTGGCCAGGAAAGAGGCAGCGGATGCCGAGGCCAACGCACGCTCGGCACGCGGCGAGCCGCAGCCCACGGGCAAAGTGGTGGGCATCGTGCGTCGCAACTGGCGCTCGTACGTGGCGCACGTCGACGCCAACTCGGTCAATTCATCGGCGCTCTCGAGCCTGGGTGCGCAGACCGTGTTCGCCACGCCCGTCGACCGCAAGCTGCCGCGCATCCGCATCCGCACACGCCAGGCGCGCGAGCTCATGGGCCAAAAGATCCTCGTGGCGCTCGATGCGTGGCGGCCCGTATCGCGCTATCCGGACGGCCACTTTGTGCGCGCGCTCGGACAGGCCGAGTCCAAGGAGGCCGAACAGGAGTCGCTGCTGCTCGAGCACGATGTGCCGTACCGGCCGTTCAGCAAGGCGATCCTCGACTGTCTGCCCGCCGAGGGCGACAGCTGGGTGGTGCCGCCCAAGGATATGACGCACCGCGCGTGGCGCGACCGCGTCGACATGCGCGACGAGATCATATGCTCCATCGACCCACCGGGATGCCAGGATATTGACGATGCGCTGCATGCCAAGCAGCTGCCCAACGGCAACATCGAGGCGGGCGTCCACATCGCCGACGTTTCGTACTTTGTGCGTCCGGACAATCCCATGGATGCCGAAGCGGCCAGTCGCGGCACTACGGTGTATCTGGTGGACAAGAGGATCGACATGCTGCCGCATCTGCTCGGCACCAACCTGTGCTCGCTGCGGCCGTACGTCGAGAGGCTGGCGTTTAGTGCGGTGTGGGAGATGACGCCCTCGGCCGAGATCGTGAATGTGCGATTCCACAAGTCGGTCATCGCGTCCAAGGCCGCTTTTACGTACGAGGAGGCTCAGCTGCGCAAGGACGACGCGTCCAAAAACGACGCCATCACAAAGTCGATCCGGCTGCTCAACTCGCTCGCCAAGAAGCTCAAGCAGAAGCGCATGGATGCGGGTGCGCTCAACCTCGCCTCTCCCGAGGTGCGCATCCACCTCGACTCGTCCGAATCCGCCGGACCCATCGATGTCGAACAAAAGGAGATGCGCGAGACCAATTCGCTCGTCGAAGAGTTCATGCTGCTCGCCAACGTCTCGGTGGCCGAGCGGATTTACGAGGTGTTTCCCATGACGGCGGTGCTCAGGAGACACATGCCTCCGCCCCGGACCAACTTTGAGACGCTGCAGGACATTCTGTTGAAGCGACGCGGGATGGAGCTGGACGTGTCGAGTTCGGGCGCTTTGGCTGCCTCACTCGATAAATGTGTGGATCCAGCCGATGGGACGTTCAACACGCTGGTGAGGATCATGGCTACGCGGTGCATGTTGTCTGCCGAGTACTTTTGTTCCGGCAGTGTTGCACGCGATACATTCAGTCACTACGGTCTAGCTGCTGGGATGTACACCCACTTTACGTCACCCATTCGACGTTATGCCGACGTGTTGGCGCACCGTCAACTGGCAGCGTCTATCAACTACGAGCCACTGCATCCTTCGCTTCACAGCAAGGACTACGTCGACGACATCCTCAAGGTCGTCAACAAACGCCACCGTAGCGCGCAGCAAGCCGGTCGTGCCAGCGTCGAGTTCTACGTCGGACTCAGCATTGCCGAACGAAACTCCTCCAGCGGCAAAGAAGGCGGGCTGAATGCTTCGGCGTACGTGATTAGGGTTTTCCGAAACGGCATTGCGGTGTTTGTTAACCAGTTCGGTCTAGAGGGGCTGATTACCTTCCAGGACGAACTGGAGTTCGACCAGGAGGCGTACCAAGTCACCATCCCCAAGAGCGTTTCCGGGTTGAAGAGCGATCGAAAGCTGGGCATCTTTGACCAGTGCACCGTCAGCATCGGCGTCACCAAGGACGCCAACACCAAGCGCGGCAAGGTCGCCATGCATCTCCTTGATTAGCGCGCGCGAGCAATAGAAATTTGTTCCCCCCACGCAGGGCGAGTATTGATTGGATCCATACCGTGCGTGTACTGTGAGCATCTTGTGGCCGCGATGGCGAGGCAACGCAGCGACGAGATTGGGGTGGTACGCTCAATCCAGCCGCTGCCGCGTATCCAGACGCAAGAGGTTCCTTGTGCCAGCGCACCATAGCGGTGCCCGAAGAATCGCTCGAGGACGCTGCTCTCCTCGGTCGCTGTATCCAGTGGCAGGCTAGAACACACGGAGTGTCAGGCCTTCTACCCCTGTTCAGTGCGTGAAACTGACACGGGTTCGGCTCAAACCAGCTTGCCACCCACTCAACGCGACACTTGAATGTGAGGGCCTGAGCCGAGCAAAGTCAGGTGCGAGTTCGGTGTTGCTCGAGCGAGGCACTCGAAACGACCACATGTTCTCGGCGTATCAGCGTGTCAAACACCCGGCCGAGCGTCCAAGTTCGACACCTGACAACGTGCAGCAACACTCCGGGCCTCACCATGCCCACGCAGCCAACCAGCCACCACAGTCAATTCGTGATTGAACGAGCAAGAAATGCAATTATCAAGATCTATATACTAAGTGTGCGACAGCTGTGCGGCCTTGGCGACGCTCGACTGTCTCGGATCGAGCACCGTCGGTGGCTGCACTACCGTTGGTGGTCCCATCCCATTCGCCACCGACCCGCCTCCTCCAATCTGATTGATCGGTTTGCTCTTGGCTGCGATGACGTTTCCCACGATCGCAACGACAATCACAGCGGTGAGGGCGGCGACGATCCAAGCTGTCCTAGCGCGGCGATTGCGCACGGGGCGATTCTCCACCGAGTCGTGCTTCGTCACCAGTTCGCTAGCGACCTTGTCGACGGGAAGCCGTTTGGTGCGCCAGGTGTCGAGCTGGATATCGCCCATCCAATCCTTGCCCTCCTTCGCTTCGGATGATGACGAGCGAAACCACCACCTCCTGGCCGTAGTGCGAGGTTGGAAACGAGGCGCACCGTTCATCTCCAAAAACGACTTGGCCACACCACCATCTGGGTGCGAAGGCTCGTCGATATCCTCCCATTCATCCTCCTTCCCCGCCGGTTGGAGGATGATCTTCTTCAGCCCGCGCTGCTTGTCCGGCGGATTGGGCGATACGAGCGGGCCTTTACCGTAGCCGCGAAACCAACTTGACCTCGTCACCCCGCCCCAGCCATCTCGCTCCTCTTGCGCGGTGTAGCCTTTTATCCGACGCTGTGGAGCCAAGCCAGGCAAGGCAGAACGCACCACCCCCAACACCTTCCTGCTGCCCTTGGCTTCCACCTTCTCCGTGCGGAGTGCCGCCATATTGGGGGGTCGAATCACGCTCACCACCCACTCTGGCTCCGTCTTCTTCTCCTCGCTCAAGTCAATGTCGAAGCCGGCGAAGAGTTCACCGTTGGGACTATCGGGAGCCACATCGCCCACATGGCTGAGCTTGGGCAGCATTGCACCCGCCTCCTGGGTGGTGGAACGTTCGAGCTGGAGCTTCGAATACTCGGCTGCGGCGAGGCGGTTGTCGGCGGTCGCACGGGTTCGAGCATGGTGGTTCGCTTCAAACCGCACCCACGAGGGCAGCTGAAAGATCTTTCGCGTCGCCGTCATGACCTGCCACGACTCGCTCCTCGCCGTATCGGGACTCTTGATGTTGCACTCCTCCTCGGGCAGGGGCGATTGGACAGGTACGCATGTCGACGCGAACCTCTCGGTGCGTCTCTTGGCCCCGAGCCTCTTGAGCGTCGCACTGAGCGGTTCGATCTCGCCTTCGGTCGCATCGGGCACAGTGTTTGCTTGGGTGGGGGTGTGGAGTGCCTCAGCACGACGGGGTGTGATGGGGCTACCCGGTGACATGAGGATAGCCGTCTCAGCCTGCATGCGCGCACTGAGAGCACCTCTCCACCCCATCCTCTTGCGCATCTTTGCATCCACCGACGGCGTCATCGGCTCCGTAGGCGACTTGAGGTTCGCATTCATACACGTTGCCGACAGACTCCGCATGAGCGTTCGACGCGGAAACAACGGCGACGAAGGTGTCGGAGACTTGCTGGTCAGCATCACAGGCACCGTAGCAGCGGGCGAGGTCTTGCGAGGCGATACGGATAGCGAGGCCAGGAGACGCGCAACCGAGTTCGAGGAGCGAATGGATGCCGCCGAGGTGGTCGACATGCTGGAGCGAGGCGAGAGCGGCGAGGCAAAGTGCGACGCCCGCGGTGTGGGCGCATCGTCGTCGTCAAAGCACGAGCGCAGAGATCGCGTGTCCGAGCTGATGTCAACGATGGGGAATGCGGTGCAGGCAGCTGCCGGAGTTGGGGGGGATGTGCACGACTGCGGACGCTTCTTGGTCTTGGGTCGTGGCGCCGGCTGCAGCTTGAACGAACGTGCGTCGGTGTTGGACTGGAGCATGATGGAATGAGCGTGAAGATCAGCAAGGTCGAGCAAAGGAAGATCAGAGTCAGAGGTAGAGGAGGCAAAGAGCGATGGAGGTAGCACGCGGGGCGGATCCTGGACCAGTCCGCTTCCTTATATCTCTTGCCCATGTCTGCACGACGCTGATCGTCCTGAGACAGGCACGCACTCTCAGAGTATGCTGCCACGACTCAAGCACTGCAACAAAGGGACCCGAAGTTGGGACACGGCACAAAGGCAGCCTGTTGGCGGCAAGAACAAAGGGACCACGATGCAAGTCAATCCGGCGGGAAAATGCAGGCGTTTCCGCTGGTGTCAAGCCATCCTGCAAAAGCCCTTTGTGCTGTCCCACACCGCTCGCGTGGCACAAGGCAGAGACCACTTTAGCATTTCCACTACGACGGAACAAAGGGGGGCAATCAGAGCAAAGCAGAGCCAAGACTCTAAGGCTGCATCACGGCGTGCATTGTGCCGTGGCGGCTTCACTTGTTGAGCTCGGCGGAACGCTTGGCCAGCTCGTCACGGCCTGTACCCGTCACGATCGAGAACAAGAATTGTCAGTCCGTTGCGGGCATTTTGTCGCATGTGCTGTGGGACGTACTCAGAGGCTCCTCGAGCTGCTCGGTGTTGACGACGGCGGGGCCGGGCTTGCCACCTCCGAAGACGCCCTCCTTGAGACCCGAGTTGAGCGCAGGGTCGTTGTTGGGGTCGTTGGCTGCGCAGAAAAACGCAAGGACCGTCAGTGGATGTGCAAGTCAAACGATCAACACGAGCGCATAGGGGGCAACTTACTGGTTGCCGGGTGGGGCCTGCATCACGAGCACAAGTGAGGGCAAAGGTGATCAGCATGCGTTCGAAGCGAGACAACGCAGCGGAGGGTGATTGTTGCTCACTGGATGGAGAACGACTGCTCCTCGCCCTTGTTCTGCTGGTTGTCGGACATGTTTCAGGGTTGAGGGATAAGCTTTGAGAAAAAGACAAAGGGAAGGGGTGATGATGGTTTCGGACAAAGGCGCAAGATGAAGGGACAAAGGGACTTTTGGCTCCTCCTCCTCCAGCACAGCCGGTCGATTGACTTGCGCTTCGATAGCCCGCCCCCCGCTTCGCCGAGCCGCAGCGACGAGGGGCGGCCTTTCAGGGTCCACTTGGCTGAGTCGCTGCTGCTCACCGCTATCGCCCATTGCCATCCGCGGGCAGCCGCTGCAGCCGAACGCGCTCCAAGACGTCATCCAGCCGCGCAGCCTCCACAAAGCACGTCCCAAAAAAAGCGCGACCTTTCACAGTGTTAGGCCGCGCTCTCATCTAGCTCTGAGTCGAAAAATTGGCTGCCCCGAACAGGCAAGTGGAGGCTGCAGGGCGTGTTTTGAAGCAGCTTTTTTTGGAACGGCTGCAGGGCGGCTGCAGGAGCTCTCACGCCTAGCCGATTCAGCAAGCCCCTGAGTGCGGCAGACCCCTTCCAGGGCGCCGGAGCGAGACGCGGCGGATCGACGGTGCAGAGGCGGTTGAGCAGTGCGCGTCTCGGTGTTGCTCTCTGGCTCCGCTGCAGGTGCCAATTCGTAGTGTTTTGGCCGGCCACCTCCTTCCTTGCTCCCTTCGTTCCTGCGACTTCTTCATTGTACGGGGTGTTGCAGCTGTGCGTCGTTTGCGTGTGTGTGTGTGTGTGTGTGTGTGGCGTAAGCTCGGATCCTTCCGACGCCCATCTCGGCCTGCATGTGGTTCGGATTTGTTGGGTTGCGCTCGTCGTGTGCCTCACCGAGACCGGCCGTGTTGGGCAAGCAGCGCATGCGTTTGCATAGGAGCCTCGAGGCCTGCCAGTGTCAAATGCGCCTCGTGAGCGTGCATGAGAAACGGCGATCCACTTTGAGATTCGGCTGGTCCGGTGTCGGAGCATGACTTTTGGCGGTCCATCGGCGCTTCCGGCTGGCTTGACTCTGCACCATCACCTCGCTCCTCCTCCACCTGCTGCCACTCGCTATCACCGGTGCTGCTACCGTTCGGGTGTGCCGCCACGCAACATGCTCTAGCCAAGGTTGTGACGCCAAGATAGGGCTCGGCACGCATCGGCACGGCTCCGACCGCTTCCAGTCTTGCTCAGCAGTCATGGCGCCACCCCAATCCACGCAGACCAAGCGCTCGCCACCACGACCTTCGAGCGTGTCTCTGCGCGCGCCCAGATCCGCCAGCGTGCAGCAGCTCGTCTCGAGATGGGAAACGCAGCCCGAGCCTACAGCTACCCCGGCAGCATCGACATCCTCCCCAGCATCGGGTACATCCGCCTCGTCGAGCTCGCCGCTCCTGCACGCCAACGCCGTCATCGCAACCAACGGCACCCTCGGCCCGCTCGATTGGACGCCAAAATACGGCTTGCCTGCTCAGCCTACCCGCGCCTCAACCAAGGCCACCGCCGATCGAGCTCTTCCTCCCTCTCACCCTCAGGATCCCTTTGCTGACCACCATCAGCATCGCTCGAGCCGTCCCCGCATATCTGCTGCATCTCCTCGCGGTCGTCATGTGATGCCATTGCGCTCGGTGCACCCGGCGCCCACCATTCCTTCTCCTTCCTCGCCTTGCTCGCCCTCGATACATTCTCTCCCCGAGCCAGCACCACCCTCCGCTGCATCAACTTCCACTTCCCACACACCGAGCTCGCCGCCATCAACATTAGACTCTGCAACCTCCAAGCATCCTTCCAAACTTCCCTCAACTATACCCGCGCCCCATCGCGCAAAGCCCGCTCCTCCTCCCAATCTCGTCTCACAAGCACAGTCCGAGGTCGTCCCCGTACCCTCGACCACACACAGCACACACAACACTCCAGACCCACACCAAGCTTCATCTGCACACCACCGCGAGGGGCTCGGCAAAGCTTCTCATACACAAGGCATCTTTGACCTCGACGCAAAGGTGCCACTCGGAACAGGACGCTTCCTTCCTTCCACCTTTCGACGCAACCTCCCCGACCAAGCAGCATCCATCCCGGAGCGCTCCAGCTCCCATCTCTCGGCACCACAACCTACACACGAGCAATGGTCTCCGGAGGAGGCAAGCAGCATCCCCTTGCTCCCGTCGACCAACGCAGCCGACTCGGAGGCCTACAGCTCAAAGACTAGGGGCCAAGCCGCGCAGTGGAGGCAACTCGTCTCGGAAGAGCTCGCTCAGAACGCAGTCTGCTCCAACGTCGACGCCGAAATGCTCCCAATATCTGCCGACGAGGTCTTTAGGCGCGACGCTCCTCCCATCCATCTCCCGGCCCTCGAGGAGTATCTTCGCAATCCCATCATCTTTGGTGACCCTGGCTTCACTCCATCCGACCAAGTCTGCACAGACCAGGAAAAGCTGCTCTTCGGTCTCGACGATGCCATCCTGGCTCAGAGCCTCTCTTCGCCCGTCAAGTCATCCCACCTGTCTAGCTCCGTCGGCCCGGCGTCACCCAGCAAGAAGAGCCGCTTCAGCTCCAAGTCGGCGCATCTCGAAGTCGCTGGTGGTCAGATCAGCTGCCCCGCCGTGCTCTACTCTTCCAGTGTCGACTCGGACGTCACCAGGAGCAGCAAAAAGAAGAGCAACCTTCGACAGCGTCGCAAGGCGGCTCAGACTAAGCAGCTGCCTGATCTTGACGAGCGTCAGACAAGAAAAGGCTCGACTCGTCACCAGAAGGATGCCGACGACGATTCTGACCCTCTTCTCGAGGAGGTTGCGTGGCAACACAACGGCGAGCTCGGTGCACACCAGCGCGCCGGTCAAGAGACGCTCAACCCGTTCGACGATACCCACCAGGTGCCGTCTCCCGACATCGACGACGACGCCACACTCATCGCTCAGGACTCAATCGATGCCGAACATGTCGTCAGCCGCATCTCGGCCCGCATCACCCAGTCGCAGCAGACGGGCGCACGCAAAGACGCGCCCTCGAGCAAGTTCTCCACCTCGTCGCATCCCATCACCCGCAAGCACATGTTCCCGCCGCTCATGCTTCTCAAGGACAACAACCTCGACGAGCTCAAGTCCAACGCCATCGGTCCCAGGAAGCCGCCCGGGGGATTGTGGGCCGTCGGCTGGCTCGGCATCATCTTCGACATGGTGATCGGCGTGGAAGGAAGTACGTTTGCAGCCGGCATCCTTCGCCTCGAGACGCTGCGCGATCTCTTTCAGATCATGACCATCCAGCTCCACTTCCAGCGCTACTTCGAAAGCAGCGATCCGACCAGCGCGTCGAGCAAGGCCTTCAAGTTCGTCCTCCAGACCCTGCCTGCCTTCCTCGGATTCGACCTGGTCTCGGTGTTTGGCTACGCAGTCATCTTCTTCGTCATCTGGATCTGCATCACCGCCCTCGCACTGTGGCGCTTCTGGCACATGACTAAGGCGCACAACCCCAACAAGACCGTCGAGGGCTTCGACTCGCAGGGCTGGATCTACAAGAGCGCATCGCGCGGCACGCGCTTCGCCAACACCTGCCTCGTCTTTGTGCTAGGCCTGCTCTATCTGCCGCTCAGCAAGCTCGCCGTGGACGCGCTGGTGTGGTCGAGCGACTTTTGGCCCGTGCCCAATCCGTACAAGGGCGGCGTGGACCATCCAGATCCAGGGCCGCTGCTCGGCGATCCGGACATCTGGCGCGCGCCTCTCGACTTTTGCTATACCACCACCATGCGCAAGGATGCCTTTAATTGGGCCTATGTCGTGATCCCACTGGCTGTGCTCACCATCCTCTTTTACACGCTCTGGTATCCGTACAAGCTCATGATGACCATCCGCGAGATGCTGCCGCGCGTCAGCGCGTACAACGAGCTCGGACGCAAGCGCAGCAACGAAGAGATGCAGATCTACTACCAGCGGCTGCTCAACCGCGACAAGTCGCCGTTCAACTTTCTCTACAACTCCTACCACCGCAAGTGGGGCTACTACAAGCCGCTATACATCCTGCTGTTCAAGCTGACAAACCTGCTCATCATCGGCGTACTCGCCAAGGACAACTGCCTCTTCCGCAGCGTGCGCACGCGCACCATGCTCGTGGCGCAGCAGGTGACGCTCATCGTCGTCATGGCGGCGCTGCTCGGCATCCACCTGCTCATCAAGCCGTTCGTCGACAAGATCGGCAACCGCTCCGAGATGGTCTCGCGCATCGGCTACGTGCTCACCGCCACGATCGGGCTGCTCGTCGCGCTCAACGTGCAGGGCTCCACCGTGTACAACACCACCATCCTCTACATCGTGCAGGCCTTCACGTACGGCGGCAACATCTACTTTGCGCTCATCGGCATGTCGTTTGTCGCGCACCAGGTCAAGCGGTGGCAGAGCCGCGTCGACTACACCATCGACCTCTTTTCGCCCGTGCTCGACATCACCAAGCACATCAAGCGCCGCGTGTGGCAGGAGACGCTGTCCATCATCATCCTGTGTGCGCCCGAGTACCACATGCCGCTCGAGCAGGTCATCGCCTTCTCCGTCTCGGATGACGAGCGCTGGCCGCCGTACCTGATCGACTTTCGCGGCTCCGTCGCCGAGCGCCACATCGAGAACCTCAAGATCGTCAAGCAGATCGGCATCGACGCCTACCGGCGCGAGATCGACTTTTCGCGCACCGCCGAGGGCGCGCACCGCCAAAAGCTGCTGCGCACCATCCAGAGCGACTATGCCGGTCCGGACGTGTACTGGCGTCCGCCGTCGCCGCCGTTCCCCTCCGGCGTCATGTCGTTCTTCGGCAAGGCTTTTGTGGTGCCCTTCCCACCGACGCTCGTCATGTGCTACGACGAAGGTACGGCGGCGAGCGTGGTGCTGACCAAGATCGACGAGCTCGAGGCGTTTATCGCGCAGAACTCGGATTCGCGCGTGCAGAGCAAGCGCCGCGTGCGGCAGGCGCTGCGCGCGCTCGAGGGGCAGCATGTGCTGTGTCCGCACGTCGAGAACGTCCAGGTGGGCGATGCGACGAGCGGCATGGTGTTTGTCGACAAGCTGTTCGGGCGCATATCTCGCCGGCGCCGCGCGCTGCCGCGCTTTGGCATGCGCACCGACGCGCGTGTGCAGACCGAGTACGTTCTGGCGACACCCGTATCGTACGTCGAGGGCACGCTCAAGATCGAGCGGCGCAACGAGTTTGACTGGGCGGGGTACAATTTCGATGGCGGTTTCGAGGTGTCGATCGTCTTTGACGAGGGGCGCACCAAGGATTCGAGCGGCGCGCTGAGCGTGGTGCGGCGGCTGCTCGAAGTGAGCGCCTCGCGCGCGTTTGGCCTCACGGACGACTTTTCGATGAACGCCTCGCTGTCTCGCTTCCTGCAGGACAACGAGAGGGTGGTGGTGGAGCGCGCGCCGCTGGTGGAGAAGATGCTGCACAAGTACCGGCGCGACTTTGAGCGCGAGGCGCGCTGGAAGGAGCGCGTGCTGCCCTACTCGTTCCTTGTGGACGTGTTTGACAACGACGGCCTGAGCCCCTTGGGGCTGCGGATGGCTTTGGTGGAGACGGGCTGCGCACGCAGCATGCGCAATCTGCCCGTGCTCTACGAGGGCTGTGTGACGCTCATGTACGAGCGGCTGGCGGCGATCAACCGGTCGCCCGTGCACCGCTTCTGGTGGATGCTGTTCGACGAGCTCTGGCGGCTCAACAGCACCGACTATGCGCAGCTGCGCAAGCACCGCACCAGCTTTTCGCCGCAGTATCCCTCCTCGATCGCCTACCGCCCGCTGCCGCGCGCCGAGCTCGAGCGCTTCCTGGCGCAGCGCGGGCTGTGGCATAAGAACGGCGCGAAAGGTGGGCCTTTTAATCGCGGCATGCTCAACCGCATCTACTTCTACCTCAACGAGATCGTCTTTGCGGGCCACCACGACGGGCGCGTTCTCAACCCGCGGCGCGGCTGGTCGCACCCGGACGCGGGCGCCGCGAACCCGTTCCTGGACCCGGTCAGCTCGGACCTGCGCCGCGTCGCCACGATCAAGGTCGGGCTCGGGCACGATGCGACGCACGCGACGCGGCGCGATCTTTCCACGGTCGACGACACGCTCGACTCGAGCGGCGATTCTGGCGGGCACGCCGCACGGGGGGATCGGTCGTGGGGGATGACGGCCAACGCGTCGGTGCCGTCGCAGTACACGGGGGGCGGGACGGCGTATTCGACCGCTTCGGTTGTGGTGCGCACGGCGTACCGGTGGGAGCAGCGTCTGGACGGCGTCGCCACGCACACGCGCTGGCAACGCACACGGCTGCGTGCCCTACAGTGGCTCTCGCTCCACCCGGTCGAACTCAAACTGCAGCGCGAAAAGCTGTTTCTCTACCTCAAGCTCGTCGACACGCCCACGGGCCAGCGGTACGAGCTGCTCCGACCCAGCTGTCGCATCGACGACGATCGCACCTAGACCAACCCGATTGCCATGGATGAATTTCCAACTTGCGAGCGTGGGTATCGTTGTGAGCGAGGGGATGGGGGGTATACGAGCTTTACTTGCGGGACGACTTTTGGGCGTCTGCTTTGCGCCTCGAGTTGGCCAGGATGGTGTTCTTCAATCTCTGTGCGGGCGACGCTGTCTCGACGCAAGTGTTGGGTTTGCGATTCGCCCTCCACGCCAGGCGATCTTTCGCATCGGTCTCCGGCGAAGTGGGCAGCAGCAAGCGATCGTGATTCCAGCCGATGGCATCTCTCGTCTCGCAATCCTTCTGCATCTGTACGGTCGTTGCATGTTTCTCGCTCCTAAACCCGCGCCTAAGGTTGGCATTGACCGTGTAGGGATCTTTCCACTTTTGCTGCTGCTCCTCCAACTCGCCCACCCTTTGCTCCCACTTTCTCTTCTTCCGCTTAAGTTCCTCTTCACCTTGCACCTTTGCAAAAGCATCTCCCTCGTCTTTCTTGGCTTCGGTATCGTAGATCGCATGGCCACCGTGTTGGAGTGGATCCCAGTCTTGGATCTGCTTCCTCGCACCTGCGTGAACGACGTAGCAGGCGTGCTGGGGGTCGGTGCGGATCTCAATCCACGCGCCACAGGGACACTTGCATCTGAACGCGTAGATTTTGATGCTGAGGTAGTCGTCGACGTGCGATTTCTCCGCGTTGAATCGTCGGCCTTGAGCGAGGTGCGTGTTGCAGCCGAGACAGTAGATGTGGAACGGCAGTGCGAAGCGTACGACCAGAATCCCGGAGGAGATCTTGCGTGCTCGAGCTCCGAGTGGATGTGTAGCGTTAAAGGGGTCTCGACGGGGATCGGAGGATGGCGGTCGGTATCGACCCATGTTGAACCCCTGCATGGTTGCTGAGCCCCACTTCGAGGGTGATGGTGGATTGAAGCCAAGATTTTTTTGGGTGGGGCAGGGGGTTAAACCTCCACCTGGCTCTGCAGGGTCCAACTTTGCAGGGGTTGCATTTGAACCATCAACTCGACTTGAGCTCGGTGAGCCACGACTCGGCGGCGCGGGGATGTAGCATCGATGCGCGCGGTAGTCTTTCTCCCTCCCCCGCGGCTGGCCGACTTTGCCCTTGCACGACTCACCTCCATCCACCCGGACGTTGTACCCGACTCGGTGGACCCTGCGGCTGCCTCACTCGACGATTCGAGCGTTTCCTCGGTAGACGTCCCCCCCGGCGTGCCTTGGGAAGTTCTCCACCCGCGGCTGCTCGACGAGACGCGCGAAGGGGGAAGAAAGAGGGTGCGTATCGATTCGCCCGTGATCGTGATCGAGACGCCCACACGCCCCATCAGCATCGCCCCGGTGGTGGATCGAATCGCTACAGAGACGACGGAGGAAGAGGGCGATACAAGCAAGGTCATCGTGGGTCCTGATAGCGATGAAGAGGTCTCGCCCAATATTTCACTCTTGCAAAAGGTACCCACAATACGGGCGGATGTGGGTACTGCATCGGTCGATGAGCAGGTGCGCTCGGCATCGCAATCGGCATCGTCGCTTCAAGTTCGCGCGCCACGACCCGCACACGCACCGCCACCCACTTGCCGCTTCACCTTCTTCAGACGTGCCTCGCACGTCTCATCTGCAAGCGTCTCAGCAGCACATACTACATCGCACGACACTTCTGAGGCACTCCCACCAGAGCAAGAGGGGGCTGTGGACCACCACGCAGGCGGTGTCAACTTGCTGCGCACGCTTCCGGCGATGAACGCATACGAAGCCTCGTTCAACCCTCCCTCTGGCGGCGAAGACGAAGCTGGTTGCCAAGGCGAAGGCTCTCTGGGCGATTCGATCGTCCCACCCCCAACGCTGCACTTTACCCTTGCGCAGATCACTTCTCTCTCCTCGATCCTCTCCCCCCACTCCCACCCTCGCCGTGAAACGCCCGGTGCAGCCTCTTCGCGCCTCAACCTGCTCGTCGTCATTCGCGAAATCGGCTATTCAACCCGCGTTCGTCGCCTCAACACAACCACGACCCGCCTCGAACTGCTCGTCATGGACGGCGCCCTCACCCGATCGGGCGTTGAAAAGCACCTTCTCAAACTCGTCCTTTGGGACCACCTCACCCTAACCCCACTCCAACCGGGAGACGTAGTGTACGTCCAAAACGTCTCGATCCAACCGCCCGACCCCAAACCCCGTCTCGGTCCCGGCTTCCCCAGAGCCACCGTCGCCCATGCAGCACACAGCCACAACTCGAGCATCCAACTCTGCTACCGCTCCAACCCCACACACCCCTCCGACGCAGCCCTCAACTTCGACCCCGCCATCGCAGCCTTCGACGCCAAGTCGAATCGCATCCTCCAGCTCGTCGAGCTTTGGAATCACACCCCCACCTAAAACCCGCACCTCCCCCATTCCCCCCTCTGCGTGAAAACAAGCTTGAGCATGAAAGCAGACATACAAGTACAAAGGCGTCTCTACCACCAGCTGCCAGCCTGGGGCGTGCCAGCATCGCCTGCGAGCATGCGGCCAAAGTCGGCCTCGCGCACACCGGGCGCACTGCTACCGGCGCGCTCCGCACCCGGCGTCGCCAGGTCGAGCATCACACTATCGTGCCCCGCCAAATTGCTCGGCGTGCCCACACCCGCCACATCGATCGCTGCATCCTCCACCGCTGCTGCCGCTGGAGCGCTCGCCTCATTCTGCGCAAAGCCAGCCGAGGCGGCGAAGGGATTATGAATGCCCGCCGCCGCCGCGACGGATGCAGTGGCGCCGAGCGGGTTCTGCGCAAAGAACGCCGGGAACTTTTCCGCCGCCTGATGCACGGCGTAGGCCAGCGCCGGGTGTGCCGAGAACGCCGCGGACAGCGTCTGTATGTCCGTCTGGCTCGGTCCACCAGGTACAGGCGGCGAGGTGGCCGATGCCGACGAGGTCGGTGTACCGTTGGAGCCCGACATGGACGGCGGGCCCGATGCGGCTTGCTGCTGCGTCCATGCGCCCCATCCCACGGGCGCAGGTGCCGGTGCCGGTGCCGGTGCCGGTGCATCGCCCGCATCAGCGCCAGGCGCAGGCACGCCCGTCGAGAACCGATTGATCGCCGTGGCAAACGCGTCGTTGAGCTGGTGCGCCACATTGCCCTCATTCCCAAGCGAAGGCCACGACGGTCCGGGCACGCCCGCCGACCCGGGCGCCGACGCCGACGTAGCAGCTGCCTTATCCTCGCTCGGCTGCAGCCTAAACGTGACCGAGTTCGACTTTGCGCGCGCGGGCTTATCCACCACCATGGACTCCTGCCCACCCCCAACCGTGGCCGACCCTTCTACCTGGGGCTGCGGCGACGTGCGTCTCGAACTCGCCGTCGACGCGCGCCCGCGCTTCTCATCGTATCGCGAGCGCTTCTTGATCACATCCGCGCGCATCGTCACGGGCCGATGCTCATTATGCAGCTTGAGATACAGCCCGCACGCATTGCACACGGTATGTCCCGCATCGTCCTTCCTCCACAGCGGCGTCGTATACGTGCCGCAATTGTAGCACGACATCATATCATCCACACCCGCCTCGCCCTCACGCGACGGCGACCCGGCACGCGATCCGGGCGCCGACGCACCCCCCGGCGTCGCCGAGGGCGTCATGTGCCCCGCGTGCGAGTGGCTGTGGTGGCTCTTGAGGCTCTTGGGCCTCGGCGTCTTGTGCAGCTTGAGGTAGAGCCCGCAGGCATTGCACAGCAGCAGGTCGTTCGGATCGCGCCGCCACAGCGGCGTCGAGGTGGCGCCGCAGTTGGTGCACTGCGCCTGCGTCGGCTGCGCGTTGGTGGCGATGCTCGGCGTCGAGCTGCCCGGCGGCAGCGCATCCGGCTTCCGGTTGAGCTCCGGGTTGATCGCTGTGAAGGCGATGGAGCCGGCGATGCTCTTGCGTCCGCGCGGCTTGGGCTTGGGCATGCCGTCCGAGGAGGTGAGTGCGCCGTCGGTCGAGTGGCGCTTGACGGCGCGCGAGGTGCCGGCGCTCGTCGAGGGACCCGGACTCGAGCCGGAGCGACCGATATGGCCGAGCGAGGGACGCATGGTGGGCGACGAGGGCGCCGAGAGCGAGTCGACGGGGCGGTCAGCGCCTTGAAACGGCCCGGCCTCGGGCGCCAGCAGCGGCGTCGTGGGCACCGAGACCGAGGTGCCGCGCGCGCCAAACAGCGACGGCTGCGGATGCGCGCCGTGGATCGTCGAGACGGAGGTATCAATGTGCAAGCCGCCCATCGGATCCTGCGCATTCGCCACGCTTCCGTACGCCGAGAGGGGCAGATGCGCGTCCTCGGGCAAGCTCTGCGACAGCGCGGGCGCCTTGTCAGCGGCGCCCATCGAGTTGTTGTTCGAGAGCCAGTCGGGCTGGCTGCCCCAGACGCTGCCGACGCTGGCGTCTGGGCTGGGCTCCTTGGACTCTGGGCGCGAGCTGTTCTGGATGTGCGTGCGCTGGGTCTGTTCGGAGAGCTTGCGCATGGTCCTGAGCTCCTCTGCCTTTTTGCGCGCGAGTTCCGACGCCACCTTCTGCGGCTGTGGGTCGGTCTTTTTGCGCCTGTTCTGCTTGAGCTTGACCGGGCCGACGCTCTGACGGCTGGGGCCCGAGGAGGGCGCTGCGGCGCCGCCGGCGAAGCTCTGCACAGACGAGAGGTTCGCAAAGGAGTGGTCGAAGGGCGCGTTGAAGTTGGGCAGGTCGCCGACGGGCAGGCCGAGGTCGGCGAGGTCCATCTGCACGTCCTCCATGCCGCCGAGGCCTGCGAGGAGGCTGTCGAGCGGCGCGTTGAGGTCGATGTGGTGGTTGAGCAGCAGCTCGCGCTCTGCGGCCTCGATGTCCTCGATGCGGTATCCGGCGGATGCGGTGCCGAGGTTGCTCATGCCTGCGCTCGCCATGATCTGGTCAAAAGTAGCACCCGAGTCGACGGCGCCGAATGCGAGCGGGTGGTCCGTGCTGAGCTCCATGGCGTCTGTGCGCGCGGCGTCCGGGTTGGAGGCGGGCGGGGAGAGGTTGAGGGGGAACTTGTTGGTGGTGCCGACGGGCGCGTTCTGGCGCTGGTTGTGTGCGTAATCTCTGGAGGCATCCTTGTTGCCGACGGTGGTCTGCTTGAAGTTGACGGTGGGGTCGAGCGCAAAGGTGTACTGCATGTCCTTCATGGACTGCTTGCTGGCGCCGACGCTGCTGCGAAACTTGCCCTGAAGCTTGGCGACGGCGAGCGCGCGGAGCTTCTGGCGCTCGACGGCCTTTTTGCGCAGCGCCTCGCCCGAGTCGGTCTTGCGGAAGGGCGGGGCGGTGAGCTCGCCGATGGCGCGTCCGCGGTCGCGGTCGAGCTTCTCGCCGGTGGACTTGGAGAGCTTTTTGAAATCGCGACGGCTCTTTACGTCGTCGTTCTCGACCATGAGGTCGTGGAGGTACCAGAGTCGCCAGCTGAGGTTTTCGAGACGCTGACCCTGCTCGAGGTGGGCAGCGACCTTGGTGCATACTCGCCAGGTGCGGAGCAACGAGTCTTCATCGTGCAGGTTGGAGAAGGGGCTGAAGGACTTGTTGCCCTTGACTTTGAGCAGCAAGGGTGCCATGGTGTGCAGCAGCTGCTAGCGGCCTAGGCGGGCCGCAGGGATTGTTGGCGGCTGGGCTTCGGAGCGGCTGAGCTGGAGCGTGTCGCAGGGTGGGTGTGAGTGAGCGACTGTGGATGAAGGGAGTGGTGTGTCGGCGCGGCCGAGTTGAGTTGGACCGCGCTGAGATATGAGATGTGATCGAGCGCAGGTCGCTGACCGGTCCGGGAGCGCCTTGGCAAACGCGTCTTTCGGATGAAGCGCCAAGCCTAAGCCTATTCGAAAGCTCCGTCGGAGGGTATCGCACGTGCAAGGTGTGCGTATGTTGTGCGGGTGCGGGCTCAGGAACGGATGGCCCGATCGAGACGAGCGTTGGGGGGCGGCTCTTTCGATGCGAAGCTCCGAGTCGAGTTTGAGTCTGGAGAAAGGCTATTGTGCGTGTTGGGGTGTGTCGGAAGGGCCGCTGGTGACGGCGCTACTAGCGACCTCCAATCGGCGCTGTGCGTGTACTTTCGGAGTGATGCCGATGCGTCGCGTTTTGAATAGAAAGAGCAGCGGGCACTATTTGCGCTTTTGCGGACGGTGATGACGGGTCAAGATGGTGGTGATGGAGAGCGCCTTCCAAGAAGGACTCGAGGGCCATGCAGAGAGTGGCTTTGCAGTTGGCTTTGCTGTGGGTATGCAGGTCCGCGCCTCTGGATGACTGGGCCAAGAGGCACGAGGCGAGTGCGGGCTTCTTTTGCGAGGCGTGCATCGCTGCTCTCGACGTGCTGCTGCTGCTGCTGTTGTTCGGCAAAGCCCCCAGGGCCCTGGACGGGGAGGGGGAGCGAAAAGGGTCGCAAAAAAGCAGCCTCTCGCCGTGGGGGAAAAAGCCCACCTGAGTGCGAAAAATTCAAAGCAGCGAGAGAGGCGAGGCAGGCGAGGCAGGCGAGGCAAGCGAGGGCAGCTGCATCTGGCTTTGCACTTCTTTGCGCGTCGTGCAGGTGCAGGTGCGGTGCGGCGCTGGATCTGAAGCCGCTGCTCAACGAATTGAAATTGCAAATTGCCGACCTAAAATGCAATTTCAAAAAAAGAGACCCTCCGTACGCGAGAGTTCGTCCGTCGAGTCCAGCCCAGCTTCAGCAAGGCAGGCTACGTAGCCCAGCAGCTGGCTTCTCAGATGAAGCTCCATGCAGACCGTGCACCGCTGCATTGCTGCTCACTTTTCGCGTGGGTTGGGAAAAAACCGCGCGATTTTTGTTTTTTTTTTTTTCATTCTTCTTTTCTTGGGGTAGCCAAAAACAGGCACGGACCCGCTCGCAGCCAAAACTGCAGCCGAGAACTCGACTTCGATCCCCACCCCCACCGCGCGCACCCGCCAAAACTCACCGAGCCAAGGCAGACCAAAACCGAGCAAGCTCCACACGCTAACCCACCCGACTCAGCTTTACCCCACACGCACGTCCAGATTGGCATTGGTATGGCATGGCTAGTGCTGCTCGGTGTAGCGCGCGAAGGGCACACCATCGGCGCCGTACGTCTCCGCTACAACGCCGTACCGCACGCCATGCACGCCCGGCGTCTCGCTGCGCGTCGCAATCAGCTCGGCCACCGCCCCGCTCGCCAGGGCACAGCGCAGCGTCTTGCGCCCCGTCCACCTCGCTCCGTCTGCGTCCGTGTCGTCGTGCAGCTGGATCGCGACCTTGACGTCGTAGGCGTCGGAGAAGTTGCGAACCACAAAGCGGTACCTCCTCTCCGCCTCGTCGTTGTCCTCCGTGGAAGCGAGCGTGGCGTGGATCACGGCCGGGTTTTGATCGGCGTTGAGTCGGCTCGCTAGGATGTTGGCCAGCACCGTCGCTTTCTCTTTGATCGTCTCGGCGTACAGACTGCGCACCGCCGCTTTGCCCGCACCCTGCTCCAAGCGAGGATGCGTGATGGCCCGGATCTGACTGCGCAGCGGGCCGGGCTGAAGCCCGTATACCGCCACCTGACCGCAACGCGCGCTGCTCTCGGTGCGCGGCTGCAGCGCAAAGTGCACCACCACGTCAAGGTCGCGTGGCTCCCACAGCGTGAAGGCGTCGCGCCGGTCGCGTGCACCCAGCGTCGGGAATGCAGCACCAAGCCACCGGCTACGCCACACCTTGCGAGCCTCCCGATGCAGTCCCAGCATCAATCCATCCCACTCGGAAGCATATGCGACACGGGTGAGGTGTAGCTTCACGCCGGCCGCACGTGCACGCCGCGTGTCTCGGCTCAGCAACACATCCTGCAGCCTGGTGGCCGTGTACTCGTCCATGCCACCCTCGGCGCTCGCGGCTTCCACCAACACCTGCTCGCGCCACACCTGCAGCGGCGCAATCACCACACTTTGCGGCATCGCAGACGACTTCGCGAGCTTCCAGCCGGGTCCGAGCAGAGACAGTGCATCCACGCGGATCTCGTCGCTGCTCAGCCGATTCGTCGCCTCGACCGTCACCACGTGCCTGCATTCCGTGCTGCGCTCCGGCTCCGTGGTGACGTTGATCTGCAGCGCCGCAGACACCTTGGTTGACAGCGCTAGCCGCGATAGATACGTCTCGCCATCGCCAGACGAGAACGGCAGCAGCCATGCGATGCTCACCGCGCCTGTTCGGTTGGGCCGCACCGCCAGCCACCGCTCCACCTCCTCGCCCGGCATAAGCTGCCCGCTGCCCAGTACATCCTCCGGACCCGCCGGGTCCATGTGATTCGCCATCGTCGTGTCCTCTGCGCTGGAAGGCACGCCGTCGAAGGTCGCCAGTTCCGGTTGGTCGCACAGCGCACGCAAGTCCTCGATCGGCGCGCCGCCCTCGTTCTTGAACACCACTTTGAGCCGCGCTTGTTCGCCCAGCAGCATGTGCGCGGGTGCATGCACGATGCGTGCAGTCAGAGTCGGGCGCGCCGCATGAACTGACACCGCCAAGCTCAGCTCGCGCCCATACACCACCGCCGCCCGCTGCTCCTTGGTCGCATTCAGCCGCTGCCCCTTTTTCACCAGCGGCTGCACGAGTTCGATCGCATCCGCCAGCCGGAACGTCACGCTGGCCACGCGCAGCGCCTTGGCCTCTTTGCTCGCTCGCATCGCAACGCTGATCCGTCGATGCTCAGAGGCGCCCAGCACCATCCGCCCCGGATCCTCCGTCTCCACATCGCTGAAATCGTCCTGATCGGGAGTGTCGTGCTTGAGCACAGGGCGGATATGGTCAACAGCAAGTTCAACGCCGAGCGGATTGTGCAGTGCTATCTCGAGCCAGAACGTCTGGCCGACGGGCACTTCCCTCGCCTGCGTCGATGTTTTGCTCGTCGGCCTCTTGCGTCTGCTCTTCGACCCGTCCGCATGCGTTCGCTCGCCCAACCCACTCGCCACCAGTTGCTCCTCCAGCCGCTCCCACACCTCCTCGTCCACCGCCGACGTCGCCGAGGCGCTCGACTCGGGCACGAACCGCAGCGACGCCGACGCCGCATCGAACATAGGTACGGGCAGGGCCAAGGCGGTTGCAGCCGCGCCTGGGATGGAGTCTGGCTGCTCTCCCGCGCGCGCCGAGTACTTGTACGCCGTCTGGACCGCTTTGAGGAACGTGTCGTGCTCTACACTCGAGTTGGCGCTGGGGCGGACGAGGCGCACGAGGTGCGCGAGCGCGGTGTCCGAATCGCCGTCGTTGTACGCCTGCATGCCGAGCTCGTGTTCGATGTGGTTCTCGACCAGCGTCCAGCCCTTGTCGCGGTACACGACGGCGGCATTTGCATAGCAGCGTAACGAGAGCGCCTTCTGCCCGCACGCCTGGTACTTGTGCGCGGCCATGACGAGATGCAGGGCGTACTTGCGCAGCGCCGCACGCGGCCTTAGCTGCAAACACGCCAGCGCCGCCTGCTCGAGCAACAGCGGCGCCAGCACCTCGTCCGAGCGCTGCGACATGCGCAGCAGCCCCGCCGGAGCCGGTCGCAGATAGCCCAGCATCCGGTAGGCCTCGTAGTACAGCAGCGTGGCGCGCAGAGCGTTGTTCTCGTCCATCGCGGGCGCTGCACGCGCCGCCGATCGCAGAGTGTACTCCTGACACGCCTGCGCAAGGTAGCTGTCCACATCGATGGGCGCACTGCGTGCCGTGTACATGATCATCAGATGCGACAGCCCAAACATCTCGGTCGCCGCTGCAGAGTGCCTGTGCGCCTTGTCGCCCGCAAAGTCCTTGCGGCCCAGGTCGTACATGGACGCAGCCAGCTTGTAGTCGCGGATGGTAAAGGCGAAATCCGCCAGACGCCGCGTCTGCGCCTCAATCGAGGTGTACGGATACCACTCGTTTTGCGCATCGTACCCGCCCGAAGTCGCAAGCCCACCGGGCGTCGAGGAGCCGCTGCCGCTCTTGTCGCTCGAGCCACCCACACTGACGCCGCCGAACAGCTTGCGCGACGCACCGAACAGCCGGTTGGTCAGTCCGCGCCGCGAGTTGGCCAGATGCTCGCCCATGTGCTGCACATAGCGCTCCATGAACGGCACGATCGACTGCGCGGTCAACTCGCGGATAAAGCCTTTGATCCGCTTCACGTCCTCCTCGTCCAGCACAGCAGCCAGATTTGCGCGCGTCGGATCACCCGGTGGGCTCATCGGATTCGGCGAAGTTGGCAAGGTCGGCACGTAGGGCGACCAAAGCGCAGCCAGCTTGGCGGGCGCAGCGGGCCTGTCGTCCGGAGCACTGTTGATGGCCAGCAGGCAGCAGTGCAGGCCGTACGTCTTCTTGATCTGCTCGAGCATCTCCTTTGAGCTGCTCAGGTCGGGGCCCGACGTGCGCACGTCATGGATGAGAACGTAGTACTTGAGCACGTCCGTGTTGATGAAGGGCTGAGCGGGGAACGGCGACGCCTGCGAGGTGACTTCGTACAGCTTGGCAAAGTCGTTCATCGGATCCGGCGATGCGGACGACACCGCGAGAAGCACCGCGACCGGATGTCCGAATGTTTCGTGCTTGCAAACGGGTCTTTGGCTAAACGCCAGCTGCTGGACGGCAGCGAACCACGGCGTTGTCTCTTCGAGCGAGCCTCGCTGCAGCTTGGCCAGCGTTTCTTCCAGTGCTTTCCCTGCTGCTTCCTTGTCGTCAAGCTCGTTGAACGCATTGTCCGATCCTGTGTGGTGCTGCTGTCCAGCTGCATTCGGCTTTGGGACCTGAGCATCCCACTTTTTGATGTTGGTGGCGATCAACTGGTTGACCTGGTCGAGCAGCTCTTCTGCCGGATTGACCGCACGCGCAGCCTGAGCGTTGAACATCGAGTACGGATCGAAGCGGAGCGGGAAGCGATCGCAGACGCGCGTCTCGAGCTGCGAGGTGCGCACCGACAGCCGCTCCACCGAGAACTCGAACGGCCGCAGCAGCGTCGACAGATCCGGGATGCCGTTGAACTGGATCACCCGGTCCACATCGGGACTCGAGAGCACTGCTACGCGCGGCGACAGCGCTGCATGGATCCGAAGGTCGCTCATGTCCTCTAATCACCGCGTCGGTCTGTCGCACGGACTGGGTCAATGGACAAGCCTCGGTTGATCTAGAAGTCTAGGCGGAGGATGACATGGCTTGGCGCCAAGGGGTGTGATGTCGTGACGTTATCGTAGAGGTCCCAGAAGCGAACAGGCGGGTATAACAGCGAGATGCAGATTCGGTCTATGAATGGGTGAAGATGTAAGAAGGAGACAAGGTGAACGGTGGGGCAAACGCATTCAGAGGGTCCGTGTGTCGTGCCCGTCTCCACTTGCGAAGGGGCGGCTTGGAAAATCTCAGTGTGTCAGATCGCAGTATTTCGATCCCTCACGTGGTGGCGTGTCGCTACGACCCTTCATCCTTCAACGCGGCGGCGGATTTTAACGGAGCGGTGACTGCGGTCAGCCATAACGATGCGTCGGCTGGCGGTGAGACAGAGAGGACATACTTGATAGAGTGCCGATCAGGCGCGTATGTAAATGTCGAGGAGGTAAGAGCTTGAATATACTGTGTTCGAGGAGTGATTCGAGGACGAGGTGTCACCGCCGGGGTGACACCTTGTCCTCCAGGATCCTACGCTTCCAAAACATGGTGACGTGGCTCCTGTTTTTCCTGTCGATAGGGTTCGCTCCCGGATGCGGCCGGGCAGCAGGAGTGTTGATGGTTGAGGAGCTCTTAAGGGCCGAGCGAGGCCAGTCTAAAACGAGGACCAAACGTACGCATCTCGCGGGTCAGGCGTAGCGCGCGTGCCAGTGAACGTCTGGCGGACGTGTGGATCCGAAATGGGCCGTGTTGTGGTGTCGTCCGTAGCAGACAGTCATGCTGAGAGCAGGATCACGACGAAGGAGGTAGTTTGGCGACGCAGGGAAAGGCGACAACGACCACAACGGCAAATGTAAACAATATTTTAAGGCCCAAGAGGTAGCAGCGAACGACAGCCGACCAGCGGGGTGACGGTAGCAAGGCGTTACGTAGCAGCCGAAGAAAGGTCCGACTCGAAAGCGCGAGAAGACTAAGCTTGAGCTCTAGTCGAAACAACCGTGATCAGAGAGGGAAAACAAGCTGGATAACCAGAGTTTCACCCGGGCGTCAGCATCAGCCAGCGGATCTGTACGTCTCGTGCCGCATCCTCACAACGAACCACAAGGTAAGAACGACCACAAAGGCGAACGTGAAAAAGCAGATAAGATATATCAAGAATACCGGCGAGAAATCTATGCGCTAGCGAACCCCCTTGGACCGGAGGCGAGCGAGATTATACGCCTCCATCTCGGCCTTGCGCTCTGCCTCAGCATCCGCCTCTTGAACCGCATCAATCGAGCGCAGCAACGATGCAGCCGAGTCCGCATCCATCGCATCGTAGTGCGACTCGAGGTGCTTCATCACCGCTTCCTGCGTCGCAGCGTCCGTGCCCTCTTCAAACTCGACCTCGAGCGTCCCATCGTGCGCGGCGTAGACCGACGTCCCCGCGACCGAAGCAAGCAGCCGGTCTGCGCTGTATTCCTCGGCGTGGTCTGGATCTCTAGAACCGACAGACTCGGCATCGCCAGACAGAGTGGCAGACTGCGCGTCATCGCCACTCGACGTCGCTCGATCCGCTCGGTCCACCAGACTGCGCAGCTTGTTCTTGAGCGCCTCGCCGCCCAGGCCATTGATGAGGTCGCGGATCTTGAGCGCCGAGTTCTTGGTCTGCCACTGCGTCCAGAGCATCTGCTTCTGGTTGTTGGTCAGCCCGCCCACCTGGCCACGCTCACCGCCCGAGTAGATCCCCGACGTCGGCGATGGCAGGTGCGATTCCTCCGGCGCACTAGGCTCCCAGAAGCGCTTGCTGCCCTGCCCGGCCCTTGCCCACTGGCCCTCCTTAGGCACGAGCAGAGGATGCGCCTCTGTCGTAAAGACATACTCGTCAAGCGAGATGAGCTCGGGCGGCGAAAAGAGCAGGTAGTAGTACTTGAACGTCTCGGCGAACGTAAAGCTCTCCATGCTGTCGGACCAGTCGGCGGGCGAGCGGTTGACGTCGTAGATGGCGCTGAAGCCGGCGTCGGTCATGCAGTGCGTTACCCACGAGGCAAACATCTGCCATCCGCGCTCTTGCCACACCGCGTCGCCCGTGATGCGCCACATGTAGAACACCGACTCGATCGTCTCGGGTCGGTTGAGGTAGCTCGTGTGGACGCTGCGCACGCCGACGATCGGATTGCCGCGCGGCTTGCCTCGTCGCGACGTACCATCGGGAAGGCTGATGAGCTCGAAGCGGTCATCGTCGTCGTTGGTGTAGAAGATGAGGTTCTCGGGACCAATGCCGGTGGTCGAACTGTTGTAGGACCACCAGCACGTCCCCGTGATGCCCTTGGCTAGATCGATGTCGTCGGCGCGCTCCGTCATAATGCGCGAGCCAAGACCAAGCATACCGCCGCTGAAGCAGGCCAGATGCTCGAGCTTGGCGGTATACCGGGAGCCAGAGAGCTCGCCGATGGTCATGAGGCTCACGCCCGGCACCGTGTCGATGCGGGAGATGAGCAGCTTCTTTGCTCCTTCGATGGCATCCGAGTACATGCGGCTGTACTGTTCGAGGCGTCCGCCGAGCAGCTGATGCTCCTTGATGAGGTACTCGTAGTACGAGTCGGCCATGCCGCCAAACGAGATGGTGCCGTACGAGATGTTGCGCTCCGGGTAGATCATGTTGGGAAAGAGAGTCTCGATGCGACCGGCGGCGGTCATGTTGCGATCGAGCCAGTCGGTGGTGCGCTGAACACGGTCAAAATAGGTGCGGTTGCCGGTGACCTGCCAGAGCCGCGTAAACTCGAGGAGCAGACTGCCTGCTTCGGCGAGGATGACGCTGCCCGACTGGTCGAGAGGCTTTCTGGAGGGATGTTCGGGCGTCTCCATCATGCGGATGCGCCCTGCAGGCACGCCAGTGATCGTGTCGAAGGCAGGGAGAATGAGCTGTGCGAGCTCCTCTGCGCGATCGCGCATGAGCACGTCACCGCTCAAGTCGTATGCTGAGACAAAGCCGCCGAGGTAGCGGATGGCGGTCTCGAAGACGGGAATGCGACCGTCGGCGTTGCCGTATGCGCTGCGATCGCCACCAACGAGGCGGAAGTCGATATCGCGCACGTGCTGCCTTGCCAGGTCGTACTCCTTGGGGAGACCCATGACGAGCAGCGTGTCGAGTGCGTCGACGATACTGGCACCCCATCCATTGAAGGGGTCCTGTGCGCTCTTGGAGACAGGACGGAGCTCGTCGTGGCCCCATGCATGCTTCTTGTAGCCCTCCCAGGCGTGGATGAAGGCATTGCGCACGAGCTTCTGACGACGTGCGACGAGTTCGTCTCGGGCTGGGTCGTTGCGGCGCCCCGAATGACGCGTGGCATCCTCAAAGGCATGCTGCACCTTGGGAAGCGCCTTGGGAAGCGCCTTGGGAGCGGTGGACAGTTCCTGGACGGGAGGCTTCCAGCCGTCCCACGGGGCTTTGCGCCAGTCGGGTTCTTGTGGCTGCTTGTCGGGATGGTTTGCATCGGCAGCGTCGGTCTTGGATTGATCGTTCCAGACGCGTGTTGTCCAGATCTCCGGGGTGATGGAGGGGGCCTTGTGTGGCCAGGGAGGCGGCTGGAGCACGGGATCACGATCTAGGAGGCTTTCCAGATAGGCGGGCAGCTCGCCGCGATGCGGGTTGGTGTCCTTGTAGAGCGAGGCCTGGGTTGGCGGCGTGCCGATGTAGCTGACCTCGCTGAGGCGAGGAGGAAAGGAGTCTGGACCGAGCTCGGCTGCTGTGTCGAGGGCGAGCGTGTCGGACACATTTGCGGTAGAAGAGGGATACCACGAGTCGGGCGATTCGGGCTTTGGGCGCAGCCATTTGGGCGGTTGCCATGCGGGCCAGCCTTCTGCCTTGAACTTTTTGACCGGGTCCATGTCCATGACGAAGGGTCCGACGAGCAGCACCTGTACCGAGACGATGAGCGCGACGAGCACAAAGATGACGAACATCTTGTGCTTTGCGATCCAGGAGATGAGGTGGGACGAGGTGGAGCTGCCCACCTGCCGCGAGTTGATGGGCAGGTAGGAAGCTGTGGGTGTGCTGCCGAACATGCTGGTCGGTGACTGGGCCTGTTCAGCAAGCGCCTGTGTCTGATCGTCGGCCGCTTCGGACGTCTGCTTTAGAGTCAAAATCTTGCGCTGGCGAAGCGAGGATGGTGGAATCGAGCTAGCTAAACTGCCTACATTCGGGAAGGCAGCGAATTGTGAGGCGGTGTCGGTCGTCGATGCCGGTTCAGACGACGAGCTCGGGATGGTGCCGGCCGGATGGGAAGCAGACGCTGCGTCCAGCGAAGACGAAGCTGCGTCCGAAATGGCTGTTCCGACTCGCTTTTCTGAGCCTGTCGGCGTGGTGGAGGGCGAAGGCGGTGACGATGACGCTGCGGACTGCTGCTGTGAGGTATCTATGGAAGATTCGGAGGAAGCGACGCCGACGGACTGGGAGCTGGAGGAGGAGGAGGTTGGGAGCTCGTGTGCGTCTGCAAGCGGCGGATCCTGCAAGCCCATCAAAGGCGACGCAAAGCTTTCGGGGCGTGGACCGAACGAAGGGTGAGAGGGGGAGGGTGGCGAGCACCAAGAGCTGTCGGTGTTGGGGCGGAGGCGGTTAAGCGTCGATGCGTCCAAGTGCGCTGACCTGCGTGTGCGCGCCCGTGAGGGTGAGGATAGAGAGAAGGCGGCGCATCAGGCGTCACACGACGAGCGATGAAGAGTCCGGACCAGAGCGCGAGAGGCTGGCGGAGACGCGGGGCGCTTTGCACTTTTCTTGGCTTGCAGCGCGGGTGCAGCATGCGAAGAAAGCCAGATTCCCGTCGGGCTGCAGCCGAGAAAAAAAGGTCGCCTCCGCCTCCGTCCTTGCGCTCTCTGAGCCTTTCAACCGCTTCGAGACCAACACCGGAGTTCCGCCCCAGGTGACAATACAGCAAACAGTTGCATCTTTGCATCGCATCGCAAGTCCGGATCTTACGGTTGTGCAGGCCGACATCGGAGCTTCCTCTCATTGGCGGAGCCTCCGATAATTCATTCGATCCTCCAGCCATTTCCAAGTCGCAAGTGGCTCGACCGACCTGCACACTATCAGACCCAGCAAAGATGCACTCCACATCGACGGGCTTGACGTGCGTCGGAACGCGCTCCTTTCGGCGGCAGCCGATCATCTCATCTTGCTGCCATCAGCCCATGCAGAATACACACATGCAATGCATACGAGAACGGGTCGTATTCCGGGATGCTGCCAGCTCAGCAGATTGAGCAATAAAATACAGGGCACAACGGGACAAGGAGCGCGCTACGGCTGATACGAGCCGTGAGCCATACGGAAGAACGAGCGAAGCAATCAGAAAGAAAGACTCGAACACAACGAGATGGTCCGCACAGCCAAGCGAAGGCTTGAACAGCGGCCATGGGTATAAAGGGTGCCCCCGGAAGGGCGTGGAGAGAGGTGGAGGGCACACAGCGTCTGCGATGCGCTTAGAAGAAGTGCTGATGCGACGCACCATGCTGCGAGTGCGCCTGGGGATGCGCGTGGGCATGCGCATGCGCGTGGTGCGCGACTTGCGACGACTCCGCGGCCGCGCCGGCGCCAAAGTGGCCGTGGCCATGGTGGCTGTTGCCGTTGTGCACGTCGTGGTTGAACATGAAGCCATTCGAGGGAGAGGCGTCCGAGTGCTTGTACTGCACGTTCCACCAGTTGGTCGGATCCGCCGCAGTCTGCCAGTCCAGATTCGCCTCGTGCTGCTGAGCAGCGGCCGGGGCAGCAGGCGGTGCGGCGGGGGCAGCCATCGGAGCAGCATGGTTCGACTCGAGGTGCGAAGCCTGCAGCCCGAACCACTGGTCCAGCCTCTCGCGGTGCAGGAACTCGCGCTCGGGCAGGCTCGAGGCCTCGTTCTCCGACCACTGCGATGCGGTGCTCGGTCGCGCCGTCGCCGCCGCCGTAGCCCAAGGGTCCATCGACTCGGCCACCGACGAGCGGTGGTCGCCAGGAGACGCGTCCACGCCGCGAGCAAAGTCGAATCCTGTCGACATGCCGTCCGACGAGGCGCTGTCCAGCGACATGGTCAGAGACGGGTCAGTGGGGTGTCCCACTACACCGCCGAAGGTGTGTCCATCCGAAGCGCCGCTGCTGGCAGCCATGAGATGAGACGACCACATCAGCGAGTCCACGTCAGCCGACGAGCCGACGTTGGTCGAGTGCGCTTCGTTCATCCACCTCGACAGCAGCATCGACTCGCGCTCCTCGTCCGAGCTGCGCAGCAGATCGCCCGCAAGATTCTCGATGGCATCCTTGCACTTGGCGCCGATGGGCGTGATGCGACCCATGTCGACCAGCAGGCGCACGCACGTCTGCAGCAGGCTCACCCACTCGCGCGCCTCCTCGCTGCTCGGCTCGTCCAGCAGCGACACGAGCGGCACGAGCGCGCTCTGCGTGAGGAAGTAGATCGCATGCCATGCCATGGCCTGGTTGTGAGGGTGCGAGTCCCAGAAGGCCGAGATGGAGCGGATGTTGTTGCTCGCCATCCTTCGGCACAGCGCAATCGCCTGCTTGACCGCAGGACGCAGCGCCGGGCGAGGTGCGCCGCGGTCCCGCGCAGCCGCAGCCGCAACCGAGTTGGAGAGCAGGAACGGTCGGAACATGACCATTCGAAAGTTGTTGCACCTCCATCGCAGACGCGCCGAGGCGACCGAGAAGGACGCAGGACGCGGGCCAGCATAGCCGTCGTCCATGTAAGCCGGCAGGCTGTCGACAAACTCTTCCGTCTTGAGGTCGAAGGCGCGCACCTCTTCGATGGTGGGGTTGGGCCCCTTCATCAAACGCGCCTGCAGCGGCATGCTGATCTTCGAGGCAAACTTGGCGTGGATGGCCAACGTGGAGCTCAGCGTGGCCTCGGACACCTCGGAAGGCAGCTCGTCCGAGGTCGGAGACATGGCCGTCTCGTCGAGATTCTGGGGAGGCGCCACGTCGGCGTTGATGCTCAGCAGGCCGTTGGGGCGTGCCATGCTCACGCACGTGTCGGCCTCCATGGTGAAGAGCGTGTACCACAAGCGACGACCGAATTCACGGTCGAAGGCGGGCATGTCACGCGCCTGGAGCGCAGCCTCCGAGTGGAGACCCATGGCGATGGCCATGCGCAGCGCACTTCCGAGCACCATCCAAGCACTCGAAAAGAGGTTCTTCTTCTGGCAGTAGGTGGCCATCAGAGTGAGCGCCTGCACCGACATGATCTCGGCCTTGTCAAAGAGCACGGCGTTGTAGATCTGCTTGGCGCGCTCATAGAAGACCGTGTCCACGTCCACTTCCTCAGCCGAGACCCTGCGCTCGAAGGCGCCGAGCGCAAAGACCATGTTGACCAGCATGGGCCAAGCAGGCAACTGCGGAGGGCAGACGGTACCCTGAAGCTGGGCACGGAAGGTGGCAGGGTGGAGGATGGGGTAGGAGGTCAGGTGGAACTCGAAGAAGGACTCGAGCAGGTCCACTGCGAAGCGCTGGCTCTCCGAGTCCCAGGCAGCAAAGGTGACGTTGTCCGGCAGGGCAGACGCGTTCTGCATCTGCATGGCCGAGGTGGCCGATGCCGAGGCGCTGGCGAGACCCTCACACGACACATCCAGCCCACCAGCCGAAGCCGAGCGGGGAGCGGCGTCGTGGCTGGCGAGCGTCTGGATGGCCGAGAAGTCGGCCTGGCCCGCCGACTTCCTGCCGAGGCTCAACTGCGAAGCGATCTGGAGGGCGGCGTTGCAGCTGGTGAGGCTGACAAAGTTGCCACCACCGAGGGCATCGACGTCCTTGGACGAGTTGGCAGCGTCGCCCGAAGGCTTGGAGGAGGGGGAAGCGTCGTCGGCAAGGTCATCGTCGTTGGCATCGTCGTTGGAGCCGCCGGACATGGAGCGGGGACGCTTCTTGGATGGCGACGAGGGAGCGTGGGTGGCAAAGCCGCAAGTGTGCATGGTGCCCTCGCCGGTCAAGGAGCGGTTGGGCATGATGGGCTGGGTGGCACGGCGCTGAAGAGCGGGGCCGGCTGCCGAAGGCTTGTCAGCCGAGGCTTTGCCAGCTGCGGTGTTGCCCAATGCCTGAAGCTCGGCGATCTTCCTGTTTGCATCTTCGAGCTGAGTCTCGAGGGAGCTGACGTATTGGCGGGTGATGGGCGATCGCTTGGGAGGGTCGACGTAGGCGCACGACTTGGTGCGGCTGTGAGTGATGCATCGGCCGCAGAAGGGGAGGCCGCCATCGCAGCGCATCTTGCGCGACTTGCATTCGGTACACGCACGGGCGACTTTGGAGCGGCCATCGCTTGTGCCGGGCTTGCCGAGATCGCTGGGGTGGATGTTGTCGAAGCCGGTGTTGCTGTAGGGGAGGAAGGCGAACTGTCCAGGCTGAGCATCGTTGGGGTTGATGTGGACGGGGCCCGGGCCGAAGCTGGGCTGGTTTTCTGCTTTGATGAAGCCCATTATGAATTAGGAGATGAGGTGGGTGGATAGCAATGGGGTAGTGGCGTAGAAAAGTTGACTATTTGACCAAATGGCGAGAGGCCGGTGGTGATTGCGGAGACCGATGTGGGGATGGCCGCGAAGCTGAAAGTGGTGGGGAAGGGGCTATGACAAATGCTCGAGGGCCGTCAAGCAGCGGATGTTTTGGCCATGGATCTATCAACGAATCCGAACAAGAAGGATGAGCAATGTCACACAGGCGCCAGGGTCGAGAGATGGGCTGGGCGGCTCTGCGATGTAGATGGCGAATATGCTGGACGAAGGCGCGTGATTGAATCTGAAGGCGAGATCAATGAGCCTGGCTGAGAGTGTGGCGATTGGAGTCTCCACTAGAAGTAGGTCGTAGGTGTAGATAGTCGAGTAGCAGTGCTGTTTGCCACTTTGTTTCCGTTTTGATCGTCGAGTCTTCTTGAGCTGACGATGGACTAGGGGTTGGAAGGAGTTGTAGGGCGTGAGGGTTGGGGAGGGAGAAGAAGAAGAAGGTGATGGTGACGTTGGTGTAGGAAGGAGCGGGACACGACGGGAGGGGGCTTCGAGGATCACGCGAAGGAGGGGAGGCAATGCTTGACGAGGCTACAGTCGATGGCAAGCCAGCAGCAGGCAGCACCACGACACGAAGACAGGGTCGACGACGGGCAGCGGAGGGGAGAAAGCGGGCTATCAATCAGGCAAGTGAGCATGAGGATGTCGCCACGGACTGCTGTTGCGCCTGGCGTTGTGCGAAAGATAGCAAGACCTCGACCGAGCTGCTTCGCCCTGCGATTCCACGCTCTCCCTCTCTCTCTCTCTTTCTCTGGAGAGCGGACGGGGGGCGCGGAGCGGAGAAGCTCCAGTAAGGCTGCAGAGAGGCCCAGATCGCTTGCGAGCCGCCCGCGAAAGAGAGCGAGAGAGGGTATCAATCAGTGGCGCAAGAACACAAAGGCGCGCTCGAAACTGGCGTCGGGCACTTTCTGACTCTACGGTAAAGTCGAGCCGGCAGAGCAGAGCGAGAGAGTCGATAGGCGAGCCGACATCCGGGGGAGAGAACAAGCTGCAAAAAAAAGAGGTGAAAACGGGGGAGGCTGAGCGACGCAGTGCCAAAATGAAATGCAACTGCTCCCGAGCTGGCGTCGAGCCAGAGCTTGTTGGTACCGTATCAGGAGCAAGGGCACGACGCCAGAGGCTGAATGAAACCGATCTGGCAGAGTCACACACACACGCTCACACCCCCACTTGGCGAGTCAAAGATCCGAGTCAGGGCAAGACGCCCGAGGAGTCGCTCGAGTTGACTGACTCTGCCTGGGAGATCCGGCGGAGGAGACGGGGCAGCCGAGCCCACAGTGCAGTCGAGCGAGGCGAGGCGAAGCGAGGCGGAATTGCAGTCGAGCAGCAAGAAGAGGAACATGGGGAAATGCGCCATGCGGAGTCGACCGAAGCCTGCTGATTGCGTCCCAGACGAGCTGTAGCGTGGCCGCAGGGTCTTTTTTGCGCGGTTGCGAACCTCCCAGCCACAGTGGTGTAGCGCCTCTCCTCTCGTTTTTTTTTCTTCTTCGCTGGTCCCTCGGGAATTACGTGACAGAGCGAAGGGACAGGCAGACGAGCTCAGCCAAAGAAAAAAAGAAGCCTGCGATAGAAACTTTGAAGAACCGAACAACAAGCCCGCGCTGATTTGGCACTCAGCGCAGTCTAAGCCGCTTGGGATTGCTCTCGTGGGTTGCCGCTGCTGCTGCCCCGCTCGGTCTTGGTCTCCAGCACAGCACAGCCCGCGCTCCCCGAAGGAGAATGGGCGCCTCCCTGTCAAGATGCGTGTCAGATGGCCCCGCAGAAAGGACAACAAGACACCGCCATCACCCGCCGTTCCAGTGGGACCAGTGGGACCAGTTCCACCAGTGTGACCAGTGCTCTTGGCCCGCAACGGCGAGGGAACAGCTCGTCACTGCTGACAGCAACACATTCGAAAGCGCATGTCGGATCAGCTGCCGCTCCAGAGCAGATAAGCAGTCCCATCTGAAAGCGGGTGTGGAGACGGTTGCAGCGAATCAGTGCAGGTCATGCCGAAGTTTCAAGGGCGTTTGCGTTGCCGCGGCTTTGCGGTCCGGGACAGCTACTGTAGCCGCAGCTGGAAGCGTGGATGGTGCCATATCGGCGGGACGGCGGGACGGCGTGGGTAGATTGCACACGAGCTGCATGGACGTGGACGCCCGCGCGTTATCTCGAAAAGGCAGGCCAGATGTCGCTTTTCTTCTTGATTGGAGTTGAGCTGAAAGGCAGCCGAGAAGCAGCCTAGAGGGCGCAGGCGCGGTGAAAGCGAGAAGAGGAGAAAGCCGGAGGGTTCGAATGTCCGAATCGTGCAGCAGTGCAGCACCTCACAATGGGCCTGGCTGCCTTGACAACTGTCCTTCCGAGGTCACTCTACGCGGTCCTGCATCACTCTGATTCAGGCAAGTTTGCAAGTTCGACACCTTTTTGTCGCTGATGCTGATGCAATGCAGGTTGACCGGCAGTGATTTGCAGCCGCTCATCGGCATGATCCGATGGCGAGGCCGAACGTGTCTGTTTGTGTGTCTGCGAAAAGGAAGAAAAGCGCACTTGCAAAAAAAAGAGGGCCTCGCTCTGTCTCTCGTTATCGCGCCATTTTCGCAGCCAACCCACGCGGTGCAGCCCAACGTGATTCGAACTTTTCTGAGACGCGGCCAGACTCGACGGTCGAGCGGTACCCAATCAACGTGCGCGCTACCAAAGACACGCTAGTCGACGCCCGTACCTACATGTGCTGCTCGGCGCGACTCACGCTCGCTCGCGCTGGCACACCTCGCCTCCAACTCGCCTCGACTCGCTTGAGACTCGCCTGAGACTGACCGTGCCTTGCCTTTTTCCAGCCCTTCAGACGAGCTCCATTGCCCGAGACCGTCAACATCCGTAGCATATCGAGGCGCCAACGAGACAAAAATGGCAGAGCGTCATTCATGGCTCATGTCCATGACAGCGATCCGTCCTGCTGACAGCCGCCACGAGCGATCTAGGCGAACATCATGGCGCCTGCGTACCACGGTGCTGACCAGTAAGGCCACGACTCTTTGCTAGCAGATCGAGACGTGGCCAATCGCCGGGCAGTGCAGTGCTTTCTCCCTCTCACTCTCTCTCTCTCTCTCTCTTCCTATCTTCGAGGTCGTCTCGCGGCCAATGACCCGCACGCTGTCGTTAAGAGCTCGATTGCATCTTTCCGGCAACGGAACTCATCGCGGGGCAAAAGGGAGGCGGGCTGGTTTTGAGATCCGCTGCCGTCGGAACGACAAAGCGGGCGAGCTGCTCTAGGGAAGGAATTACAGCAGGGTCGACTTCAGGGTCCAGCTCGCAGTGACACTTGTTCGCCTGTCACCTCTCTTGCGGCAGGGGCAACATCGCTTCTTCGCGCGCTCGCCTCTCGACGAGCTCGGTGGCAACAGCCCCAGCCGAGCATCTTGGCGTCCGGCCTCGTGTCCGCTAGGCTGCGGGCTCGGTGACCAAGTCTGCAGCGAGCGTTGAAGTCGAGCTGGCTGGCCTCGTTCGCCTCCGATGTCGCGTGCTGGGGTCGAGTATCCAGCCTAACATGCTCACACGGGCGAAGTGCAGAACGACACACGGAGATCTCCGACCCACCGCCTCGACGCGCAATCGCCACTGGCTCTCGGTTGAGAAAGTCGAGCTCTCCCGCTTTTGCAGCTCAGCAAGCGAGGCTGATGTCCTACTCGCTATTCCGGCTTTTGCACGGAGGCGACGCTGCTTCAACCAGCGGGTCAAATGGCGTCCACTTGATTGCGAACCATGCAGCCATGCTGTCAACGCAATCCTGATGGAACCGACTCCTCGTCTTGCACAGGATCTATTTCGGTCGCTTGGAGCCAGGACCGCTGCGACAGACATGTCCCACACTGGCCTCGCCCTCTTGTCTCGTCTAGCCCCCTCCTTTTTCCGAATTCCGAGCGACAACGCCAGCGACGCAGCCTAGCGCGATTCATTCCGGCGAGTACGCCGAGCGACGAAACAAGCGACGCTTGCCGATCTCGATCATCCGTCAACCCAACGGTCAGGGGCCACAGAGATGTAATCAGGCGACCAGATGGGCTCCAGAGTCACAGAGGGAAACAGATCCGGCTGGCCAGCTTTCTCGCCGAAGCCTGGATTGCGGGGATAGGGCTGCAAGTGGTCGTCTCTTATTGGTCCCCCAAACCATGCTGAAGCCAGTGGGTGTGACCCTTCGGTCGGGCGCCGCCGGCCGCATTGTTCGTCTGGATCGCGATGGCGCCGTGCAGACAATGCGCAGTGTCGTCCTACCCCACAAAAGCTAAAGCGCTTTCGGCAGCACAAGCCGAAAGCTGCGGTGCTCGTACAATCACGAGCTCGCGCGAAGAATTGCCACGGCGGAGTCTGAAGAGATGGCGCGATGGTCGGTTTTAGTGGATGCAATGGCTTTATCGCCATCCGGACTAGTATCCGGCGCGTGGTCATGCTGCACCACGCTCGCTTCGGTCGTACGCGCGCGATACAGAGATAGCTTACCCAAAAGGTTCGGGCGAGGCAATGCCACGGCAATGCAGTCGTGCTATCTTTCGTCAGGGCTCCACGGCGGTCACGCTGGGTCGCCACCCTATCGAAGCAGCGATACCAGCGATACCAAGTGGTTGCATGAACCGGCCTTCCAAATTTGCGTTATGCACCCACGCCACCGCGCGCCAATGACGCATCTCGGCGGTTGCGGAGAGATAGGCATGCCCAGTGGTCGTCTGCCTCGCAAAGAAGGGCGTGCTGCTTGGAAACGGCGAAGGAAGAAAGCTCGTACGCCCCTTGCATCGGCTGTAACAGCCAACTCTACTCGCTGCGCGTTGCCAAGCGAGTTGCCACTGGCCAGCCTTGCAATCATCAGCCTCGCTCGACGAGTCGAGACGAGCGAGTTAGTCAGCGTCCAGATTTTCGGCCGAAACGTGTTCCTTACTCAAATCTAACACTAAGAAAAATTCGGGCGCACGGACGCACAAGTCTCCACATCGGAAGGCTGAGCAGCATACGAAAGCTGAGCAGCTTTTGCGGCGATGAGAAACGCTGGACTTTCGACGACACCATCACGACGGAGAGCATATCGGACATGCTGGGAATCACTTCACGCTTGCTGTTGATTGCCACGCTGGCAGCCGGCGTAGCTGCTGCGCCAAGCGTACGCGAGGCAGAGTGGGTGTATTGGATCACGAACCCTGTCAAGCCGGACGACGGTGCAGCGCGTGGTGCTTCGCTCCAGCCGTGTTCGGTCGAGGTGGGCCGCATGCCGTACGAAGGCTACACTGTCGAGCTGCACCGAGCGCCCTACGCCTCGGCGTGCGTAGGTAGCGTCAAGGGTGTGCATGCCAACGAGCTCAGGCGCGGTCCTGGAGAGGTGGTCCTCTTCCTGTCCGAGACGATGGAGCGCGCGACCGGCGAGATGGACTGGTCGGCACGTCTTGGTAGTGCCATGAGTAGCGCACCCAGTGCTGCTGCGGGGCAGGTTGCGTTCCAGCTCGCTGCACCGCGGTCGACGATCCTTGCGGCCACACACGACGTGTTTGCAGTGGCACTGGACGAGGCTGGCCTGGCAACTGCCGATCGATGGGCGACCTTCGACACTCGCCTGCACAGGGTGGACTTCCGTCCCACCAACACTCTGCAGCTGAACGAGGAGGGCCGACCGGAGCCGGTGTTTGGCAAGCCCAAGCACAACGCGCTCGTCAGCAAGATCGCTTCGTCGAGTGCATTGAATCCGGCACGCATTGTTAAGGACCTGCGCATCTTGACGGGCGAAGATGCGCAGCCGGCCGAGGTGGGTGAGTGGCACAGTCGACACAGCTCGACGTACGGTGCGCGTCGTGCGGCGCAGTGGATCAAGCAGCAGCTCGAATCCAGCCTGGCGCCACTCAACGCCTCGTGCGACTACTTCAACTACAGCGCGTACTTTTCGCCCAACGTCGTGTGCGATATCCGAGCCCCCTCCTCGCAGGGGGAGGAGGAGGGGGAGATGGTGTTGATTTCGGCGCACTATGATTCGCGCGGGACGTTCGGATCTACCACTGCGCCGGGCGGGGATGATGACGGTAGTGGTACGGCTGCGTTGCTCGCCATTGCGCGCGCGGTGGGTCAAGCTGCCGTCTCCTTCGACAGCCCCGTTCGGCTGGTAGCGTTCAGTGGCGAAGAGCAGGGACTGGTGGGATCGCAGATGTACGCAAAGCATCTGCGCGATACCAACGTCAAGGTGAAGTTCGCTCTGCAGATGGATATGCTCGCCTATCGAAAGCCGGGCGAACTCATGCAGATCGCCTTCCCGGACAAGCTGGCGACCAAATCCGCCACGCAGTTCGTCTGGAGAATCGCCGACATCTATGCGCCCGAGCTAGAGCAAGGCTATACGCCCGCCTG